TCATTAAAACAGGGCCAAGGAGGGTCATTGGACCCTCACCAGAATATCCAGCCACTCTTCCCAGCCAACTGTACGTAATTTGGCCCTTATCACACATGGCCTCCTGGTTTGGGGAAGGCTAAAGTTTACAATCTGGGGAAGGCTAGGAAGAGAAGGCATGACCCATGCTGGGTGAAGGCTTTCCAGTGTGCACACCTTCATGTCAAACATAGACTTCAGCAACCCCTCAGTTATCTTGAAGCCTTTGAGAGGGGACTGACACTGATTCTAACTACTCCAACAGCTATCAAGATACCTGAAAGCAAATCCTGAATCTGTCACTCTTGAGTCCAACTTTGGCAGACAAAAGAAAAATGCAGAGGAACCCAATAGATGGATGCTTTTGGAAGCTCTTGTCAAGAAATCCCAATGGACTCTGATATGAACATTTGAAATTTGCCCTGTTCTGACTTATTTCTGGTTTTCTGTCTAGAACTTGTAATGCTAACTACTCTTGACTTTACTTCTCCTTCACATCCCCTATTCACCAGTCAAGGACTTTTCTTTTCTCCCTACAGAAAAGAAGTATGCAATTTGGGAGTCTTTTGGATAAACCCACTGAAGGGGTGCCCCAATTGCCTCGCCCTGTGTCCCTGTGCAGCATGGAAGAAGCCAGAGCAATCTGAGTCCCGATTCCCTATTGCCAATTTAGGTAACCTTTTCAGAGGATGGTGTGATAAAACAGGAGGTAGGAATTGACTAGGCAGTTAGGGTAAAAAAGACCCCTAAGAAAAGTAGCCAGTTTCTTGGCTAAAAGTCAAAATGTCCTTGGGCCTCTTAGCAACATACTCTGTTCCAAAGGCCAAAAATGAAAATAGTATTTGGGAGCTCTTATCTAAGCCCTAAAAGATTTTAGGGTTACCTCTTCAGAGGAGTAATGTTAGAGTAGCAAAAAGCCCCATTTAAAAAAAAGAAAGAAGGAAAGAGAAAAAGGAAGGAAGGAAGGAAGGAGGAAGGGAGGGAGGGAGGGAGAGAGAGGGAGAGAAAGAAAGAAAGAGAAAGAAAAAGAAAGAAAGAAAGAAAAGAAAGAAAGAAAGAAAGAAAGAAAGAAAGAAAGAAAGAAAGAAAGAAAGAAAGAAAGAAAGAAAGAAAAAGAGTACATGAAGTTATCAGAAAAAAGTGATGGGGAAATATGGGAGGTGTTGGAGGGGAGGAAGTGGGCATGGATTTGATCAAAACACTTTATATGCATGTATGAAACTCTCAATAGTTTCTTTTAAAAGTTAAAAAAAGGGGAGGGGTTCAGAAACTGGAACACCCTGAATGTGGTGGTTCAAGCCTTTAATCCCAACACTTGGGAGACCGAAGCAGGTGAATCTCTGTGAGACCAAGGGCAGCCTGGTCTACACAGAGAGTTCCAGGACCTCTGGGGTTACAGGGAGATCTGGAACACCTAGACGACGTGAAGATGTTTCCTTCTTTGTGAGGAGTCTCAGTCTTATGAAGGGCAGCCAGAAAAGGCGAGTGGCGGTAAAGACATACCTTCATTATCTTCTTTTCTAGAATTTTGTACATAAGAACTGTGTTTACATTTCCACCCATCCCTGCCCCCTCCACTCCTCCCATATCTCCACACACACACACACACACACCCTCTCAACTCTTGTCCTCTTTTTTGATTTTCATTGTTACAACAAAGATATCTTAAGGTTCTGAGAGAGCATTAGTTCCTTGTCAGTTACCTTTGTACTCCAGGAAGTAGATGGTAAGATCAGAGTAATGGTTGAAGAACACTTCGGGTAAAAATATTGTGATCACCAGATGTGATTAGAAGTGTGGTGGCACATACTTTCAATCCCAGCACTCAGGAAGCAGAGGTGGGCAGATCTCTGTGAGTTCAAGGCTAGCCTGCTCTATATAGAGTTCCAGGCCAGCTGGGGCTACAGGGAGACCCTGTCTCAAAAAAAGACTATATATATATATATATGCCATATAACTATGTTTCATCTTTTTAAAAATTATTTATCTTGCGTTTGTGAGTGTTATGCCTGCATAACATGTGTGTAAGTGCACCTGTGTCATGCAGTGCCCATGGAGGACAAATGAGGATCTTGGATCCCCTGGAATTGGAGTTACGGACAGTTCTTAGCCACCATATGGGTGCTGGGATTTGAACCCAGGTCTTCTGCAAGAGTAGCCAGTGCTCTTAACTATTGTGCCACCTCTCTAGCCCCTATGTTTCATCTAATTGCTAATGTATCTAATTGCTCTTCACATATACATATGGTATAGCCTGAAGGCATTGCAACTCATCTCTGCTGACAAGTGTATGAAATGAATTCAGTAGTCCTGATGTACTCATGAACAGATTAAAGGGATATAGTATGTCCACTCTAGTCAGAAAATGCAATGTGATGTTGGGCAAGGCCTATTAGTTTACATGCAATCCATAGATGAAGTTTGAAGATTTATTTTCTGTATCTGAATCTCATTCCCAACTCCTATTCCAGTTTGTTTTTCATTATTATTTTGTTAATTATATATGGTGAAATATGTGTTGTAAAGATTCCCATGCTTCTGTTAAAGTACTATAATTAAGGTGAGTTATTAGAAAAGACCAATGATGTCAACTAATCATGTGACTTATTTCCATAGGAAGCTCATAGAGACCCACCTGAAAACCATCCCAAGTCATGCATTTTCAAATCTGCCCAATATTTCCAGGATGTAAGTAATCTTTTAAAATATAAAGACAACTTTGCAATTGTGATATACTATTTTCTAAATGTGTTCTGTTGAGAAAAATGCCTTCTTTTGTATTTGCTTAAGTCGATAGCATCTGAATTTTTAATATGTCTGAAAATTTTATATACATAATGCTTATTTGATTTGTTTGATCTCCATTTATTTATTTTCATTAATGTATGTGTATGCCACATGAATTTAGCTGCCCACAGAAGCCAGAAATTTGCATTCCCTGGAGCTGGAGTTACAGGTATTTGTGAGCCAACCAAAAGGGTGCTGGGAAACCAAACTCAGGTCCTCTGGAAGAGCAGCAGCTACTGAGCCATCTCTCCAGCCTCACCCTGTATGCTCTTTTAAACCTAACACACATTTGAATTCATTTAGTCTTAACAAGTTCGCCATTTTTGTGTATTTTAATATACACAATCACATCTTGGGATGTGATTTAAAAAACAGATTTTTGTGTCTCTCTCTGTCATCCATTCTAGTTGCTGATTGATTCAATTCCACCACTAATATAATACAAATGTCTACATATTGTCATAAATTAGCCAATCATTTCAGATTTTTCTCCCTTAAAGAGTATTAAAAATAATTCTAAGCCTTAAAATAAAACTGCACACTTAGAGCTAAGAGAAAAGAACTTGCATGTTAAATTGACAGATACTGTGTCTGTCCATGAAATGAATCAGGTACTTGTTCCATTTAATTTGTAATCTAATTAATTCAAACACACGCAATAAAACCACCAGGAACGACCAGTACAGCACCTCGTTAAATTCAATTGAGGGCCATTTGTTGAGTGCTGATGTGTCATTTCAGTAGTTCTCAACCAGAGGCAATTCTGACATTTCACTGTTTGGGTTGTCAAAACTGGAAAGGGGGGTGCCACTGCAAGGATGGGGGTGACGGGTGTCACCTCACTCTTTCATACATTATCTCTCAATTTCTTAGTGTGGTGTCCTGGGCAGAGGTGAGGGCAAACTGAATAAAGGTGATAGAGTGCAGTAAAGAAAAAGCACAGATTTGAGAGATAAATAAAGGAATTTACAAGTATAAAGGTTGATTGATTTGGAGGTAGGGGGAACAGAGAAGAATTGCATTGAGTAGGCTCTCCAAGTGGTTGATGAGCACATTCATTGACAGAGAAAATTTTATGCATTTGCTGTGGAGAGATAAATGGTAAGTTAGGAATTCAGTTTGAGAATGTGGCATTTGAGGGGCAGATAGTATGACATATAAATAATATTTTATTCATTCAACAAATATTCAGTTTTAACTATGTGCCAATCACTGTTTTAAGAGTTCTATTCAGAGCTGGGCATGGTGGCACATCCTCTAATCCCAGCACTCAGCAGGCAGAGGCAGATGGATCTCTGTGAGTTCAAGGCCAGCCTGGTCTACATAGTGAGTTGCGGGCCAGCTGAGGCTATAGCAAGACCTTGTCTCAAAAAGAAAAAGGAAACAGAAAAGAAAGCAATGATGAAGAGCGGCAGAGCAGGTTTCAAACAAGCAGAAAGCTGACAGAGCCAGAGTTTGCTTTGAAGGACAAGGTGATGAGCCAGGATGCCTCCAAGAAGGGGGAATGGAATGAAAAGTCAGCAAACGAGAGAGAGAGAGAGAGAGAATATGGGCAGGAGAGAAGAGAACAAGTAAAGTATAGTAAGGAGCACTGGATGGTCTGGGGATGGGCATGTGTGAGCACTCAGGAGAGCAACATGAGCAGAGGTTGAGGCTGGAGGTCATAAACAAGTAGGTGTCTCGGGGACCAAGGGAATGCATAGAAAGGAATAAGCTAGAGAGTCAAGATCAGCCTTAAGAGTGTGTAGTCCTCAAAGAGGCAGGATGCGATGACATCCAAACAGAACTGACATGATATAGGAAGATGGTCAGCTTCTCCATTGTCACAAGACAGTTACTATAACAGATGTGACTAATGCAGGTAAAATAATGGGCTTTATTGGCAAGGAATTCAAACACTTCCCATGCAGGTTTTCATCTTTTCTACAAAATTGTAAAACATTTATCTACTGAGATTGATGATAGCCTGCTAGAATTATAAATATTGTCTGATAAAGTACAGGCAGAAAAAGGACGGTTAACTAAGAAATGCAGGACCCAAGAAGATGTGGAAAGTCTAGCTGAGGCTTGCTCTAGGGAGCCAGTACTGGATTTGCCAGTCTAAGTATTCACCGTACCTTTCAGAGTACTTAATACATCGTCTGTTAATCCCATTTGAGAATATGCATCTTCCAATTCTGTGAGTCCTTGAAGCTATGAGACAAGTCTGTTTTATCTGTGAGCCCTTGAAGCCATGAGACAAGTCTGTTTTAACAATATCCAGAAATATGTCTGGCATACAGTAAATGTTCAACAGATGTGTACTGAATGCATCCATATATGGGACTACTAGTTAAACATATATTTCAAGGGCAGTATGTGATGACCCTCAATTTGCCTGGTACAGTGCAAATTCCTGCCAGTTATTTTGGCAAATTTTTCAGCCAAACAAAAATGCCCTAGTTTTCATAACAAATTGTAGTCATTGTAGTAATTGTGTAAGATTTACATGTGAAGAAGAAATTTGAAGAGGTGATAACTAATTTTTTTTAATAAAAATTAGTAAGCACAGAATGTTACTTCAATCCCACTGGGAAGAAAATGGTTCCTATATGTTGTTTTCACAAGCAAGTTATAAGAAGTCCTCAGGTTAGAGAAACTAAAACTTCAGTCTAATGGTGTGTGCTGAATGACTAGCCTTCAACCTTGAAGAAGTCTTATCCTTCCTGTCTAAGAATTTCAGAAACAATGTGGAGCAGGAGATATAAAATGTGTTCCATTTTCCCTCCATGTTAGAGATGTGGCATTTGGGTTTACAAACAGTTTGTATAATGTTGCTTATTCACAAGAGACAAAGGACTGGGAAACCTGATAAGTCAAAGGTTGTTTAGAGAACAAGTAATTGAAAACAAAGGGCACAGGGGCGTTAGAATAGTCACAAATAACCATGATAAAAAAAGAAACTCAGAATAGAACAATTACTGCTCCTCTTATGAAGGGTCATTCAATTATAATTACCAAGGAAGGTTTTGGAAAATTGAAATGCGGCCAGGCATGGTGGCATATACCTTTAATGCCAGTTTTCAGGAGGCAGAGGTAGGCAAATCTCTGTGAGTTCAAGGCCAGCCTGGTCTACATAGCAAGTTCCAGGCCAGCTGGGGCTACAGGGAGATCCTGTCTCAAAAAGACCAAAAAGGAAAAGAAAAAGAAAAATTGAAGTGCCTTGTCCAGCACTCATAATCATTATCCTAAGCAGAGCCTTGAACGCTGCGTCCAGGTGGTTTGACTACATGTCCAACCAAGGCTGAGTGAGAATCTCAGCTATAGCTAAGACAAGACACTCAATAATCACTCATTTTCTTAAATATAGAAATACCTCTCAATAGAAAATGGTCATTTACTCTATGTATATTAACCATTCTTGTTGCAAGATGGAATTTGGCAAAACCATATGAAGAATCATATTCATGATGGCTTGTGCTGAGGAGCCACTCTTCCCCCTCCCCCCTTCTTTTAGTACCCACAAGTTTTATTTGAGTGAGCATTTGCTTAATATATTCAAGACTAATCATGAATTTTCAGCCTCATTCAAAAGCCAGAGATAGGTCTTAAAAGAATATGTAGGGGTTGGAGAAATGGCTCAGTGGTAAAGAACACTGGCTGCTCTTGCAGAAGACCCAGGTTTGATTCCCAGCACCCACATGGTGGCTAACAACTGTCTATAAATTCCAGGCCCAGGAGATCTGACACCCTCTTCTGACCTCCGTGGACATTGCACAACATGGGTGCACCTACCTACATGCAGGCAATACACTCATATACATAAACATAATAAAGTTTCTTTTTAAAAGACTATATAGTCTGGTATCGGTGCCCTATTCATGGATAAGCACTCTGCATTCTCTTATTCTCTACACTTTGGCCTGTCATAGCTCTCTGGGTTCGTCACCATCTGTTGCATGAAGAAGCGTTGCTGGTGAGAGTTAAGAGGTGCATTAATACTCTTTCTGTCCCCATTCCACTATGTACCCTGAGCCTTAGGTGTAGAGGCTGCATTTTAGATGTGTCACTTGATGAGCACAAGGAAATAGTTTTCTAGACAGCTAGGAAGTTACTCATGTGAGCTCACAGCAATGGTGACAGCGTGCATAAGACTCAAGCAAGCTCAAGCCAGACAGAATCCCAGCATAGAAGTGGGAAGGAGGGAAGAAGTCCCAACCTCAGCTGAGGAATTATTAGCAACCGATGACTACTTGGAGAGGGAGAGATAGTTTCTTTAAGGGTGTGATCTAGATAGTTTAATCAGGTTCCAGTGGATGGATGCACACTGAAAGACATTTGGAGACACAAACTTGAGTCAACAGATTTTATATGTCATAGTATATGAAATCCAGCAGGGGTTATAAGATGGGCACAGATAGGGGATGGGATCTAAATAGGATCAAAATACATTGTGTGAAATTTGTAAAAATTCAATTTAAAAAGAGAAAAGGAGACAGAGAGAGAGAGAGAGAGAGAGAGAGAGAGAGAGAGAGAGAGAGAGAAAGAGAGAATGTGATGTAAACCCCCTCTGAAATGCCCCAATAGAGATGTGTAATTTTTCATCTCTCCGTAGATATATCTATATTATGCAGTGATATATCTCTCATATGTTGTCAATACCCTCTGGAATGTTCCACTAGAGAACTGTGATTTTTCTCATCTCCTTGGAAATACATTTCTAATGCAATGCTATATCAGGTTCTCTGTTAAAATGTTTTTTGTTCATTCTAATGTTCATTATTGATGCTTTCACTTCTTTTCTATTTTGAGTAATACATGTACCTGTCTACTCATGAATGCACTCATGGAGCACATATTTACTGAGAGTCTACTACATGCCAAGTAGGCACCACAAGGAACTCAGAATTCAATGGTCAGAACCAGACACAATCCTCCATTTTAGACAACTTACAGTCCAATGAAGCAACATAAATCAAATGTTAGCCAAACTATAGAAAAGGTGCAGTGCAATTAAGGTTGTTCATCATACTATGAAGACAAACTATGGGAACTGTGGCTTCAGGAAGTTGGTAGAATGTTTCTGAAGGACGTGACATCTGAGGCTTTAAGAACACACAGAATGGGGGCGGGAGAGATGGCTCAGCGGTTAAGGACACTGGCTACTCTTGCAGAGGACCCAGGTTCGATTCCCAACACCCACATAGCAGCTACGAACTGTCCTTAACTCCAGTTCCAGGGGAATCCGAAGCCCTCTTCTGACCTCCGCAGGATTGCACAACACAGGTGCACTTACATACAGACAATACACTCATACACATAATAAATAAAATATTTTTTAAAAAGAACATACAGAACATACAGTGTTGGGAACAAACACATGTAGGGAATGCATGTAGCATGATTTGGTACACCCCTAACAAAGAAATTTTGTCAAAAGTTAGTATGTTTGAAAGCCAGGTGTGGAGGCACATGCTTATAATCGCAGTGCTCTGGAGGCAGAGACAGGCAGATATCTGGGGCTTTCTGGTTATCCAGCCTAGCTTTCTTGGTGAGTTCCAGGACCAATGAGATGCTCTCATAGTCCTATCACAGAAATACCTGCACATTGATGTTTATTGTAGCACTTCTCATACTAGTAAAGTTATGGAACCAACCTAGGTGTCCATCAGCAGGAGTGGATAAAGAAAATGTGTCTTATATACCCAACAAAATTTTTTCATCCATAAAGGATGGACTTATGTCATTTGCAGAAAAATGAGGCAACGGAGAGTATCGTGTTGAGTTAATCTCGGAAAGACACATAATGTGTGTCTCCTCTCACTTTTGCATCTTAGACTTCATAGACACATAAAATTGCATGAGTACAGATGACATGAACATAGAAGCAAAGCTGTTCATGGGGACAAGAAGAAGGAATGGGAAGGGGGGCACAAGAAAGAGGAGAGTGTGGGATGTGGGGGATATGGGTAAAGTACGTTATGCACTTGCATGAAAATGGCCTTATGCAACCCAATATAATAAAATGAAATAATGTATTTGGAGTCTGCTACTAACCTTCTACCTTGTCTTATGTTTTTGTAATGTTTAGCTATTTATCTATAGATGCAACTCTGCAGCGACTGGAATCACATTCTTTCTACAATTTGAGTAAAATGACTCACATGTAAGTACAAAGAAAATTTCAAGAGAGACCCAAACCTCAGCCAGTTTTTAAAATAGCTTTCTGCATTTATTTATTTATTTTAAGTGTGTGTGTGTGTGTGTGTGTGTGTGTGTGTGTGTGTGTGTGTGTAATGGCATGCATGTGTAGATCAGAGGACAACTTGTAGAAGTTGGTTCTCTCCTTCCACCATGTGGGTTCTGGGGATTGGGACTGAACTCAGGTCGGCAGGCTTGGCGACAAGTGCCTTTACCCACTGAGCATCTCACTGGCTCCACAGCCACCTTTAAATTGATGTTTGGGGCTCCACATGGCAATGAGTCAGTTGCTAGGTCACAGGTTGACACTTCCCTGTGTGCTAAATTCTTAATTGTCCTCACTCTGTGGTGTTAACCCATTAGAATTACTTCTCCCTTCCATAGTTGAGAATTTAGACAACATTTGAAATCCCGTTTCTCCGTTGCTATTCATACTATTATTACTGTGTTGGCAGACTTTAATGACCTGAATATAGGTGAGTCAATAAATATATACTTGACATACTTTACTTCAGAGCTGGTAAAAGATTCTGTAAAACTGACATTTTTATCCTTAATTAGGAAAGAGGAGTATTACTCAGTGAGGGTAGACCAGAGAATTGATAACTCCAGCTTTAGAGTTATTTATACTTGGACATGAACTCTGGCTCCCCCTTGGCCTGCCTACCACTTGTGAATAAGTGAATACTCCATTCACTTTTTCTTACATTTTTTTTTAGACAAGATCTTGCTATATAGTCAGGCCTGGAATGGGCCATCTTCCTGACTTCACTGCCCAAGTCCTGGGAATACAGGCACGTACCACCTGCCAGGCCTCTTAACTTCTTTAGTACAATAAAGGCAATAAAAGTTCTTGTTTCATTTGTTTATTATAAATAAGGAGTCATATAGCACAGGTGAGCATTTAGCACAGTGTCTAGCACATCAAACTAATCAATACACTTCAGAGACGGTTTTCTGCTTTTATTTCTCTAGTGCATTGCAATCTATCTGAACTTTGTAGCTATGAAAGAGAAAAAACATTTTCTTTCTGTATTAGCTTCTTTTTTCAAAGCAAAATACTGGAGATAATTAACTTATAATGAGAGAAGTTTTATTTTGTCTCATGGTTCTTAGAGGTTCCTCTCTGAGATTGGGGGTAAATGGCACATTGTTTAGAGGCAGCTAATGAGGTAACATATCATGGTAAGACCATATAGCAAAGGATATTGCTCATCTCATGAGTCAGGAAGCAAAGAGATAGGAAGCAGCAGAATCCCATAGTCCCCTTTGAGAGCATGTACCCAGGGACCTTCCACTAGGCCCCATTTTTTAAGGGTCCCCATCATATCCCAAGAGTGACTCCCTGGGAACCATGTCTTTAGCATGTAGACTTTTGGGGAAATACCCATCAACATCATAGTAATAAACAATATTATCCATCTATTGGTGCTTGGTGCATCCTAGACATTATAATAAATATTTTATGTACATTACTTTTGACCCTCATTAACTCTCAAATAATAACCCTGTGAAGGGGAGCATATTATTTCTATTATTTATATCTAAAAACATAAATTAAAAAAAGCTATGTATAGTTTTTCTGACCATAGAGTCAACTAAGAAACAGAGCTATAATGTATACTAGAAGAGCCTGACTCAAAAAAATCCTTACCAATGCATTGTATCATGCTGCAAGAATACCAAGCCAAGTGTTGCTCCCAACTGTCCATGTTCATAGATGGAAAGTATTATTGTTTCTTTATTGCTGTGCTATTGACAAGTATCCATGAAAGGGTGGAAGGAGAGAACAAGTTCCACAAAGCTGTCCTCTGACTTCCACATGTATACACACACACACACACACACACACACACACACACACACATACACACACACCAATAAATTTTTTAAAATTTAATATTAAAAAAGTCTTGGACAATAGGTCGGAAAAGTATGTCCAGTCTGAAGCATAGAGAGAAAAAGGCAAATCAGAACCACATGGCATAATAAAAGACCCAGCATGTCTCTGATTGGAACACAAGCAAAAGAACAGAGAAAAAGGAAAGAAGCAATGTTTGAAGGAAATATTCAAGACTCCTAAGAGACAAGTCACAGTTAGAAGCAGAACACACCCCAAAGGGTAAGTCTAAATAAAATTGCATTAAGGCACCTCACAGTAAAAATGCTAAAACTCAAAACAAAACAAAAATATCAAAAAGGAACAGCAAATATACATATCATAAATGACCTTTCAACTGAAATAACGTAACATGAAGCAATAGAAAAATTCTTTCAAACAACTAAAACAAGATAGCAGTTAATACCTACCAACACAACATATTCCTTAAAACTGAATAAAATTTAATTACACGTGTAATCTCAGCACCTAAGAAGCTGAGAAAGGAGGATCCTGAGTTCAAGGCTAGCCTAGACTACACAGCAATACCCTGCATCAAGAAAACATTGAAAAATGTTTTTGAAAAAAGAACCTTCAATCAAAGAAAAATCGTGAGAATTCATCAGCATTGGGCTCAAAGTAAGAGAACTGCTAAAGGGAACAATTAGAAAAAGAAAAATGATTCCACATTGTCATACATACTGTGTAGAAGGAAATGAAAATCAGAAGAGAAGGTAAATAGGTGGGAAATATAAGTACAAAGTGGCTGTGCAAAACCAAACACAGTGGGGTTTTAAACAGGACACCCCCTGCTCTGTAAGGTAGAATGACACTTAAGAATTCTCAGGCTGAAACTGAGTGATGAAACTGAACTGTAATAAGAGTTGGAATGTTGTGTGACATTTAAAATTGTCAAAACATTAAAATTTCTCTTACCAGGAAAGGAAAAAATAGTAAAAGTGATATTGATCAAATGTATTGGAGTTTTAAGCATCAGAAACATTTAGAATTACAATATTTTATTGGTTTGTAAAACCTAATTAAGGAGTTTAAACTGTGCTTGCCCTCTTTTTCTTTGTGGTGACTTACAAGACAGTATCTTTCCAATGTCTTGCAAATTCTAGGTCTGGGTTCTTCAGTTTTACCCTTTCTCTTTCAATGTAATTAATAAACCATCTCTAAGAATTCCTGTAATGTGATTTTTTTTGTTTGCTTTGGAAGGGTTTGGGGAAATGGGAGGTCATTGAGGTTTTGGTAGCTGATCTTTGGTTTGGTTTGCTATTTTGATACAAAGTCTTACTCTGTCACTCAGGCTAGCCTCAGACTCACAATAATCATCCTGTTTCAGCCTCCCAAGTACTGGGATTACAGGTATAAGACATCATGCTCTGCTTTTGGGTGGGGTGGAAGATTGAAACAGGGTCTCACTACATAGTCCAGGCTGGTCTTGAGCTCACTATGTAGCACAAGCTGACCTTAAAATGCCAGCCTCTTCCAACAGCCTGCAAGTGCTGCCACCAGACCTAGGCTCTGCACTTTCATCTTTCTTCATCCATTCATTCTTTCAACTAACTACTTTTATAAAATGTTATATGAATTTTTATTAAGAAATTTATGTACAGCACACTAAGCACTTTATTGTTTGTGAATAAACTGAATTGCAGTGACAATTACCAATGACAGAAATAAGTGACATGATTGATCACCTACTATGGTTTCCACCTGTTGTCTAATCAATGATTTGCATGATAAAGACTTGGCACCAAAGTTTGTACTTTATTCAGTTATTTAGTTAACACACTTATTGTTATTGAGGGCAGCTATTTAAACTTAATTAAATCACAGAAACTGAGCTCTCTGCATATCAGAACAACACAGAGCAAGGAACGCCTATATACAGAGAAGTAAAACACACAGCAGGAAAAAAAAAAAGAACGGGAGGGTTATAGGTGATATTAAAATGCTCTAGAGTCTTTGAATTATCTGAGAAATGGTAAAAGAATTGACTTATACCAGATTTTTATAAATCATAAAGTTCTAATCTATAGGATAGAAACTATAGAAAATTGTAGAAAAATGGATAACTAACAAGCTAATAATTAGGGGGAATGAAATAAAAAATATAAAAAGGTAAGAAATGAAAAAATATAATTGCCTGAAGAAATAGTAAATTTAATCCCAAATAATTGTAATCTTAAATGTAAAAAAGGACAAGGCTGGGGCTGGAGAGACGGCTCAGCAAGCAGTTAGGAGCACTGACTGCTCTTACAGAGGACCTGGGTTCGATTCTCAGCACCCACATGGCGGCTACGAAACATCCTTAGCTCCAGTTCCAGGGGAATCCGAAGCTCTCTTCTGACCTCCACAGCATTTCATGACACGGGTGCCCTCACATACATGCAGGCAATACACTCATACACATAAAATAAAAATTTTTAAAAAGGCAAGGCTAGAGAGAAGGCTTAGCAGTTAAGAGCACTGGCTGCATTTGCACAGACCTCGGATGATTCAGTTCCCAGCACCCATATGGCAACTTACAACCATCTATAACTCCAGTTCCAGAGGATCCAATGCCCTCTTCTGGCCTCCATAGACACCAGGCACACACATGATGCACATATATACATGCAGGCAAAAAGCTCATAGACATAAAAAAAATTAAAGTAGATGAATTTTTTGAATATAAAAACACTATTCTCATTAAAATTCAAAGACTGTCAGACTCATTTCAAAGATCTAGCTGTTCACGGCTTGCAGGAGACATATTTTAACTGTAATGCAGAAGGGTTCAAAGTGAAAGGATAAAGAGTGATGTGCTTCAGTGGTGGGACACTTTCCCAGCATGCACAAGGCCTCAGTTTGACCCTCAGCTACAGAAAAAAAGAAAGTGAAAGGATTAAAAAGTATATAACTGAAAAAAGTACGCAAGAGAAAATTCATATAAATATGTATGAATAAAGTCTTACTATATAGAAAAACTCTTACTGTATCTAATGATAAACATAATTATTACACCAAAATTACATATGATTCTAAACTATAATGTATATATACTCGGTATACTCAGTACATAAAGTGTCAGTGTC